TGCACTTCGCAGCCGTAAGTGGATGGGCCAGATAAAGCAGATTCTTGAAATTTTCTGCAAATAACCGCCCCTGCGAAACGATACGCCCTATTTGCTTGTGTACAGGCTCTCGTTCTGTACACAGACGTGTTTCCTCTGCAATTAGGGAGAATCGTCGTCGCGCAAGCAAGGATTCGTGTTTCTGTATATTTAAAAAGTCCTTCAACTTCTATAAATAACGTCTGGGAGTTTCTTGGTCAGTGATTGGAAATCTAAAGATAGAGTCTATTTGTTCCAACAACTACTGGGGGCCATGGTCAGGAATTATCAGCCCACTCAAGGTTTCTCGTATCATCGAGGATGAGTATTAGTCGACCTATCTTGATTCTAAGTGCTCAAATTCTAATCGAGTTCGATTTTCAACGACACATCCAGTGGATTGACCGATTGCTCGCATGCCACTCGCTCTTTCGCACTCTGTACCAAGCCGTACAGAGTCCCAGAGGCCCCAGCGTGGAGGTGAGGCGAGTGGTCTTTAGCCAGAATGGGCCCACCAACTTCGTCGAAGTTCGCCTCGTCGTGATCGCTACGAAGGTAGTCGTCCAGCTATCGGAGAACATCAACTAAATCGGGGTTTTCGACCTGTCCAAGGGCAGGAAGACCCATTCCAACCTCTTGCCCCCTTGATTGAAACACGTTTAAAGAGTTTTTTTATTATTAGAAACTCCCACTAATAATACTCTGCCAACAAGAACGCGTGGACATCGGTTCGCCATAAGTTAAAAGAACGACTCCATTCTTTCTCGTCGAGATTCTGGTTACGTAAATAGATACGAGAAGCGTCGATCGACCGAAATCGAGCGGATAGACGATCGGAATAATCTTCGGGGCTCATAACGAAAGGGGATTAAGGACGCGTCTACCGAAATACTAATCCATTTGTTATACACCGAGCAGTAAAATCTATCCTGGCGAGCGGATCCAGGCTGATGTTATTTTAGGTGATATCTGAGAGTGAACGAAGCAGCACGAGGAGGACTCTCGTCGCAGGTTGTGGGCCCGGCCTTAGTAAGAGGGCGGCGAGGACCCTCGAAGGTAATCTTGGCTCGTTCGCGGAGGGTTGCATTTTGATCCCCGGAGCTTCTGCCGCGGCACGATCTCCGCGTACCTTGCCTCTGCTCACGCATTTACTATAATTAGAACTCCCTAATTAACGAGCAAACGTCGCACGAGCCTTTCGTAATCTCGGGCTTGACCTTCCACCGTCGTTTAGAAACTCCTCTTTTTCTCTGTCCCCTCCCCCTCCCCGCCGTTTCACTTTTTAATCCGGTTTCCTTTCGCCCAGGCGAAAAGAAAGAAGAAAAAAAGGGAAGCCGCCGACCGAGCGCGCAGGAAGCAATATCGTTACCAGCTTTTTGTGCCTCGGAGATGCACGAAAATAGAACGAGAATGACAGAGCACGTAGCCGTACGTTCGCGTAGGTATTTGTTTGTTTATTAATGGCCCCTGGTATACAAGAGTAAGTAAGATACACACGAGACGAAATTATTAGGTTTACCGGGGGAAGATCTGTCCAAACTCTAATTAAGTCTTTTCGGCAGGTACACTGTCGCTCGTAAATATTAAGAACAAATTACTGACAAATCGTGCTATGTTTTATGAAACGAGAACGAAATAATAAGAATGACTCTTGGAAACGTGCAGGATGTATTTATTTAAACAACAAGGGGGAGGGAAAAGAGTCGCCCGTTCTCACGGAATTCGCGATCGCACGACTGTGATTTCGCTCCCCCTATTCTAATAGAAAAGACAATTGGAGCAGAAACCCCTCCGGGGCGGAACGATGGCGCGGAGTTGTTTTGAAATAACTTTAAAACGTTGGACAAACACTCTGGCGGCGTGGCAACATATTGAACAAAAATTAAAAAATAAGCTTCATAAGCCACCCGTTCGTATAGATCTGACCTCCTAGAAAGCGGGTGGCTTCCTCTCTGTATTATAGGGGCTGAGAAACCAGCTCGACTCGAATAGAGGGTAAACTTTCAGCCACGAACCTTCTGCTGTTTGATTAAGCACGTACCTTTCGAGCTTTTCCGTATTTATTCTTACACGCAGCCAACTGTACAATGATTTCAGTTTTTACAGTAAAATTACACGTGGACGATTCTATACAATTTTTACCCCTTTATTTTACATATATATATTTGCTAGAAATTGTAAAATGATTGATTCGACAGCGACAAGGCCTGGTAATCGTGAAAATTAAAACGTTTCACGCCTAGATAACGTATGTTTGCAAAGACCTCTCGACTACCAGCTGCATTACTTCGTCCCAGGAATGCTGAACGTCAAGAGAAATCAGTAGTATCATTCGTTTAATGCAGCCTATTTCTGGCTGTCCTTTATAACGTCGTTTGCGGCTTTGTCTTGACAGTACGTAGGTGAATAAAGTCGGGGGAGCAAAAATGGGACCGAAAGGAACGATAAAGCTCGACGGGTGGCGGCAGTGTGCACCGTGCTGATAAATATAACGTAACAAGTTCACTGGAATAACAACTTCATCCCGTGGGGATCAATGAGACTTTGCCGCGACTTTTACGCAGAATTTCCTTTCGAGTAAACGTATGCGCGCAGGAATCGAAAAGATGGCAAATCGATTATTGTTTTCGTTTACCTTTTCTTCATTGAACGTGTTCGATACTTCAGTTATTTTAACGTGTACAAATTTTTGTTTTCAGAACAGAACTTTGACAACGAAACTCACGACAATGGAAAACTGCTAGCACTGAATGGTAATGCTTCGGTCAAATTTCACCTACCTAATTTATTTCCACGTTTCTATTGCAAAACTGGTCAATGCATAAATTGTTGTTCCAATTTGAGTAGCTTATGTATCGAATTAACAACAGGAAATCAATTTGCAGAGGATGAACAGTCCAAGGATGAACATTCGACAAATTTTTGCAATAATTTCCACGATAATTGTTGATTCGCGAATTACATTCGGGCGTAGGAAGGGCGCGACAGATACGGGAAAGCAATTTATTTCTTTCGTTGAAAAATAATTGCGCTCGTCGCAACGTGATACGGCTCCGTGAATTTGCAATGACGTGGACGATCTTCCATTTCGTTAACAGTATCCCGACGAGGGCGGCCGTAAAAAGTAAATTAAATAAGAATTAAATACAAATAAAACCGCTCAGCCAAGTAATTGGCTGGTTACGTCGCTCGTTACCCACGACGGTCTGAGATCGCTCCACCGTCGTTCCTAGCACTTTCCGTGCTCCCCGACTGGAAAAGAAAGCGTATCCACGTCGATAGACGTTTGACGTGATCCAATTCACGAAAGAACTGTTTCATTACCGTTATCAACCCTTATTTAACAATGGAGAACATTCGTTTCTCGTCCCCCGCGTCGTCGAACGAAACTTACAAGGATAACCTAGTGGCTGCGCTTCCGGCACTCGCTAACAGAGGGCTACGCTCAACCTGTACCTCTCTCGCAAGTACTCGACCATTATACCAACATTATCAAATTTTCTTTCTGATTTTAGTTACTCGTACAAGCTGATCAAGCTAATCACTGTCTGCACATCGGAACTCACCATCGACAACATTCTCGCTCGACGACAACGAAACGATAATCTGGCGAACCACCGGTTACCAGTGGATATCTCCCTTCAATTCACCTTCCAATGTCGTTAAAAAGATAAGGGCGCTAGTAGTGAAAAAGGGTGAGCTGGCACGAGCCGAGGAGGAGTTTTCGTGACGAGGCGGTCGCCGCGGCAATCATGGCCGGATTAGGCGTATGTATAAGGATCGAGGTGCCTACCGAAAGAGGGTGCCAGGAGAGGGGTTGAACAGGTCAAACGGGGGCAAGATAGACGTCTGCACGGGGTGAAACATAAATGATATTCCATGAGGAGCATATGCGTACGGAGATGGCTCCACCTCTGCGACGTTATGCGGCGAGGGTGGTCGCCACCCCCTGTGGCAGCAGGGTGCTGGTTTATTACAAACAAGGATTACCCGGGGTAATAGGACATTCTGTCCCTTCGGCAATGAGAAACGTTCTGTGCACTGACTCACGCTGATCGCCTGCCTTCTCATCCGACCGTTGTCTGAAAGGGCGAATCTGAAGCTTGGGAGCGGTAGATCGCGGACCAAGATTCTTAAGGGACTGCATTATGATATCGCGATATCTATCGAACAAATTTGTCAACACGAGCAGATACGAGCGGGCTCGAAGGGCGTCACGCGTTTACGGAAAGGTTAACCTTGTTTGCACGAGATGATAGACGCGTGAACTTTTTAATGTGCCGCCAAACGATCACTATCTTCTCTCGGGTTGCTCTACAGTTTAGGGACTATCCTCGATTTTGGCTATTTGACTCTGAGACTTTCTTTGAATGCTTTACTTTGTTATTAAAATAAAAAATCGGTTGGACAGCTGGAACAAAATACTACGTTTGGTAGCTTGCGATTAGGTCTGCTTTAGCAATTTTATTAATAATTGTTTATTACTTATTTTTGTTGAATAGAGGTGCAATGGTAAATATGGAGGACCTGTGACGTTCGAATAGAGGAATACAGGGCAACTGTTGACATTTTAATTGCATATTAAGATATTTCATAGTTCATTGCATCGTTGATTCGATTTATGTTTATTTCGTACTTCAATTAAAAGTGCAGTTTTAAAATGTAAATATAAAGTTAAAATTGCAATTGTAAATTATAAGCACTATCTACATGCTGCTTAAGAATATTTGTATACAATTAGCTAAAACCGTAAAAAATATATTAAAGCACGATGACAAAAGCGACATGTTAATTAACCGTGAAGGTACGGGATTCGTCGATTAAATTATCCGAAAATGAAATGTATTCCTAAACAGAATACATAGAAACGACCGATGGTGGCAATGATAATTATAAAATCGTCGATTTAATTTCCTCAAATACGATTGTTAGCTCAGCTTCGGCTCGTGAGTTTTCATTTCAAACATCGTATAAATCCGTGTTTAAATACTGTAAAAAGTTCCGTCGATTTTGCGACTGTATCCGGGATTAGATTGAACCGAGTGTGGACCGGTGATATTCAATTTCACGTTACTCGGATGACCTCTTCTCTCTGCCACTGGGCCACGATAACAATGCGATCTCTCTAGTAACAATGACACGGGATCATCCTCGCCTTCTTCAAACACCTTTGCTCTTTTGTAAACCTTGGTAAACGAAAATCATATACAGCTCGATCTTATAATAATCAAATTACTTGATGTTATACTATACTTTACTTCGATCTGATTTTTCAAAACGCGCCATGTCTTTTGTCCTAATGCTTCCGGTTGCATAGTAACGTACACTTTGGGCACCAGTGTGTCTTTACTGTGAACGTACACGGTTGTCAGCGCCAAATCAAGTGCATCGTTCGGTTCCTAAAAATCATAGGATTAAGTCAAACATGTTCTGTTTCATAATAAATACAATTATGGAGCAAGTTACTTTCGTTTACTATACAGGATGTTCGGCCATCTCTAGGAAAAATTCGAATGGGAGATTCTAGAGGCCAAAATAAGACGAAAATCAACAATATCAATTTGTTGATTGAGGCTTCGTTAAAAAGTTATTAACGTTTGAAGTTCCAAAAGACTGAAAAATTGTCGGTGAAAAAAACTTTTCAAATCGTTCTGGAAAAAATATTTTTGACTGCCGGGGCAAATTACAATCATTTTTGGCGAATAGACATACCCTCGAATTCCTATCCACTTTCTAGAAAAAAATTCGAGATGTGAAATATTTCGACAAAATTAAAAAATTTCAAATCGTTCTAAAAAAATTATTTTTGGTTGCAGTAGTCAATTTCAATCATTTTTGGTGAATAGACATACCCTCGAAATCCTACCCACTTTCGAGAAAAAAATTCGTGTAGGTAGACAAATTTTATAATAATTTTTAACAATAATTTCGTTATAATACGATAAACGTTATTTTGGTCTCTAGAATCTCTCATTCAAATTTTTCCTAGGGTTGGCCGAACACCCTGTATAATACGTCTCATAATACAGTGAATGCTAAAATTACTTGTTAATTAAACAAAAATTGTAATTTACATTACTGTTTTAAAAAATAAACTGCTCTCTTACTGTTAAATGAGATTAACTAAATGAAAGCGAAAATTTGCAATTACGAAGGATCGTAGTAAAAGGGATACTTAAGTAGCGACAAGAAATTTAGGTTAACGCACGATGTATTACCTGTAATCTCATAAGTCTAGCGTCTTTCCGTATACTATTCAGGGTATGATGAGCAAAGAGACGTTCGTAAGATTTTAAGTTGGCGCTCCAGCGTTTATCGTTCGGCGAAACTTTATTACCCAGTACAGGTCGTTGGATCCACGTTCCCTCGCGAACAACATCGGGCACCGGGTAAGGATTTCGAACATAACTCACTTCCGCCATTTTACCACGATCTGCAACCGTAGACGCCACCGATTTTGTATAAAAATTTGGGTGACTCACTATCCCTTAAAATATCACATAATTATGAAGCACGTGTATCGAAACGCGACGAGAAATAGGCTTACAAATACTTTCGATCGAACCCAATCGATTCAAAACAAACGATATTTTTACGATTGTTAACAAATATAAAATTTCAGAGTGCACGGCGCGTTCTCGATGCATTTCTATTATTACATTCATACAATTTTTACATTTGACACGAATACAGAAAATTATAAAAAATATTTAGAGAAATATGTCCGGTGTCACAAAAAGACAACCATCAGGTATCGTTATTCCTTTACAACACGAAAGAATATTAAAACTGCATTTTGACGAGCTCTGATAGCCAGCCAAGCTCGTATTTCCAATTTCGAAACACTTTGTGCGTCGATAGAAGTTTCTAAAAATATTTAGAGTCACTCGATCCCCTTCGTCCTCGTTTCACCAGGATCGATGGAACGGCTGAATTCGAGGATTAACATCCGGTCTTTGCTTCCCTTTTTCGGGAGATTAAGACGCGGCTTGGTGTCGAGCAAAGGGTCAGCCACACTCGAAACATTTCACTTCGTGGAATCTCGATCTCGATCCGCGGTCATTCATAAACGGACGCCTTTAATTCATGCAGGAGGTCTGCATCCCATCATTCTCCGCGGGGTGTCCACTTATCGAGCCCGTTTCATTCTCTCCTTTCGTTCATTCTCGCCTTTACAGTCGCTCAGGCTACTTTCCAAGGGCGTCTCGTAAGACTCCCCCAAAGTCGCTTACAAGCGCTTCCACGTTCAGCAGCCGTGAAAGGGCTTATTGTAAAATTTAACCGAGACTTTCCCCGAATGCCGCCATTCATACACGGCTGCCTCTCCGTCTTCATTTACATCCAAGTAGTCAGCTGTTTGCACCGTGCTCGATGCCGGTGATTAAATTCTTCCTTCCGCTCGCGACGCCTCGCTGAAATACATTCTTTTTCAAGGACTTCGTCTAGTCCAGTGTTTCTCAAACTTGTGAATCGATAATTTTCCATATATTTACGACGCTTGTTATTAATCTGCTATTACAAAAACGGAAGAACCCTCCGAGGCGTATAACCACCCTGTTTAAATATTTATAAAGACGACGATTCGAAACAAGCGGACTGTTATTTATTTCTTTATCGTTTCTTTAACCAGTTAACTGTGATTGACGAGTATACTCGTCATGGAGAAGTGGCACGATTTTGTGTATTGACGAGTATACTCCTCATGCCTATAAAGTAGTTACCATTGACTATTTAAATTGTAATTTTTGAGAAAAACAAAACATATTCTTAAATTTCAAGATGTTTAGAATATTTTGAGGCCATGGCGGAATAAAACAAGCAAATAAAAAATATAAATAATTTGAGATGAACTTATGCATCCCCGTATGCACCGGCTGAAACAGCTTACCAGTTCGCATAACGAATTTATTTATGTGCAATGATAACGTTTTTTAGATGTTAGCCTAAAAGGGGCAAAGGCAAAAGTCAGAAAGTTGATTTATAATAGGGTTCCTTCAGGTATGGTCAGTCATGGGACAAATGCGTGACACCGACCAGGCGCTGAGCCTATTGATACCTACTGGCCCGAAGATATCTAGCTATCGAGTGGGTTTTTATTGCGTGTTTAGTTTAATATGTATGTAATATATGTGTATGTTAAACAAATAAGTAAATATTACTAATAAAATTGTCAATTTTATAAAATAAACCCATCTTTTTGATCCAATATCTTACCAGCGCAACTTACTCTGTGATTGACGAGTATACTCGTCATGGCTCGATTCTGGCGACACAAAACGGTGCGCGCTCTCAAACGAGCGTGCCACAGTTAACTGGTTAAATACGATCGGTGCAACGGCCATGTTGTTTTGTCGAGCCGTATCTCGAAATAACGAGAAAAAGAAAGAAAACCTTATCTGTGGGCGTAGTCTTAATTATCGATATTAAGCCTTGAACGAATCGACCGGGTTTACGATATAGATCGACGATCCAGTTATTTTCCAAAACTTCTGAAACTTTTCGTAATCAGTGCAATTAGCTAGAAACTCACGATCGTCCTCTTGAATCCGAAACGGGAAAAAGCGGAATAATATTTCAATAACGCGTTCTCGAAAGATCAAAATTCTAGGAAAGTGTCTAAAGTGTAACGAATTTGTGTGTTGACTCGTCGAATAAGTAACCCCCTTGTTTGGGGTAACACCTGAAAGAAGAATCGAAGAAAGTAAGCAACGCCACCGAGTATGCTTGGTTCCCCGCATTTAACATGTTTTGCTCAGGAGGTGGTCGGCCATGGCCAACGTCGACGTCCAATATTAAACCCGCAGTAATTTATGTTAGCACGAGCGTGCATAATGCTGTTTGTATAAAGCGGTACAGCCACGTGTCGGCTCGTGCCGGTACTGCGTGTATCACTCCCGCCTCCCTTAATTCTTGCTGCCACTCGGTTCACAGGCGTCATACACGATCGTGCATCGATACGTTACTACCGATTTTAAACGTGCAATTGTGTTGGGAAACGTTGTGCACCATCGCGTGTACGTGTACATTGCTAATCCTTTATGACACGGTATTAAACGTAGACGTACATTTATTCTCCTTTTTTTTTAATATACAGATAGAAATCTTACGACATCCAAATAAACTGTTCAAATCTTAAATCTCGTTGCGCGCGCATATAGTAATGGACGACGAATAATCTTCCGCGCATCTACCTTGCGCACATCAAGAGCACGCGGAGTACTCTAGTCGGAAAAATAGAAATTCTCGCGCTTCGTGGAGTCGTTGAACGCGTATTTAAACGCGGAAGACGATAAAAAGACAAATTGGTAGGGCGAGAGCAAACTTGGAGATCGTTTTTTTCCCCCGACAGATGCGCCGGTTGCAGGATGGAACGAGGGTGTTTAAGGGCAAAGAATCTTCCGTGTCGTTGCACGGGCACGGTGTATCGTCCACGGACCTCTCCTTCGACGCCCTGGGTACGATACCAGGAGCCGACACGCGTAATCGCGTAATCGCATAATCGTGGCGCGTGCTAAAGTTCGGGTTGCGGGAGCTTTGCGTGCGTCTACATCGGTGCACGTGCGACGTTGCGCGGCACTGAATCAACACCAATCGCAAATCACGGACCGATTCGTGAATACCGAATACGGCTGGTAAAGCCTTGCCAAGCGTTTTACGAGATAATTGTTCCTACCACCTGATCTCCGGTAACGATGACCAGCGAGATAAGTAGCCGTTTACACGGAAGAATGCTGGATTACGCGTGCTATCGAACGATCGCGAACGTCGAGGGGTGAGAACGATTATGTGACGACAGTTACGAACGGTTAACTTTCATAAAAATTTACACGGTTAACTTTCCAGCATTGTAATAACACGACCCCAATCGTATCAAACGATAGAATGCATCCGGTATTGGTATTTGAATACTAATACTTTTAAGATGAATATTGATTGAGATTTCGGTACCAAACAGTAACGTAAAATTGAACAAACTGTTAAATATCAACGTTTCAGCAACGATGAGATAATAACCTGTCGTAAAATCGAAAGAAGCTGCGTCAAGAATAAGAAAGGAAATCTTCCTTTGAATTTAGGTGTTGCTGCAGTGTTGCTGATATATATACTCGCGTAAATCCTGCCGTTAGTTTCGAGGATCGGTTAAATAATTCTACAAGCGTGCAAAACTGCAGCATCCGATCAACACCGCCGTTAAATTGTGCAAGTGTATTACATATACATCGGAGGATGGCAGAGTAGCAGGGTATTCTTTCAGATTTCCCTTGAAATCCTAATCCCGTAATATCCTCCGACCGATATATCGACATCGGTAATGGAATCGTGCATTCAAATGGACATCGTTTCCCAGCGAGTGTAGGAGGCAGGTCGCGGAGAGCAACGCCGGGGATGATATTGCCAATATTTGGTTGGATTCTGGTGCGAATGTGCAGGGTGTATGCCAAGGGTGTGCTCGCACCCCCTTAAGCGTGAGCACGGGGGTCGGAGGGTCGGTGTATGTTAGACGCGCGCCGATTACCATTTGAATGTACCTACCCCTGGTCAGCCTTTGTCAACCCTCCTGACAGTGACCGCACCTATCTATCTACAAGGGATCCATTCTCCCTCTTTCTTTTTTCTAACGCCGTATGTTCGCTGGTAGATCCTCGGAAGAACAGTCGACTTTAACCGCATACCTATCCAACTTTCCATTATTGTTACTCTCCTGTCGCTATTCCTACTCTAAGAAAGAACGCGTTCCGTCGAATGAACACAAAAAAATTCAGAAAAAGTCACGTATTCTCTTTTATACATTTGTGTTCTAACCCTTGAAATTGTGCATGAAATGCCTACTTAGTTATATTTCTAGGAAACTAATGGTAATGTGAATATAAATTTCAGCAAATGGATGGTGCTATAATAGCCAAAATAGATTGGATCAGTCTACGATAAATCCGATTAGACACAATGGGGTGTCGTGTATATTGTTGCATGTCGAAAACGAATCTTTATAGATGTTTGACGTTCCCTTTTTATCTGCATTAATTTTCAAAAAATTTGACTGAATTACCCATAACAGTGAGGGTAGTTTTCACCCCGAATTTTCACCTATCATAGAAATCTGATATTTCTTGTTTAAACTTAAAAAGAAGCGATGTTATAATAGTAGATAATAAAATAAAATATTCGTTAATGTATATAAAAAATTTCAACTGAAAGTCATTTATCGGTCGAAAATACGTTTCGTTCGAATGTCACATTTCGAAAACTACGAAGAATGAAATAGGTCGCGCCATATGACCACAGAAACGCAAGAAATATTGATATAGCTTTGTTCGAAAACGTCCAAACAGCAAAATATAAACGACACGCCCCTGATTTTCGTTCCTTTGTGAACCCCGAAACGAGGAACATTCTACAAAGGGCCACTGAATAACAGGTAACG